ATTATTTTACTGGTAGAACACAATTAACAAAGTATTTTGTAAAAAGTTCTGACTCACTACGGGTCAATTCGTGGGTGTTTTAAGGAGCAATATTGCCCTGTTTTATTTGCCCTTTCTGTATTCATGAACCACCCAATGATCCAGATGATCTTCTTAGCAAATATGCTCATCACGCCACTATGTGTTCCTAATTTCTAAGTGATTACCGTTTTTTACAGCTTCAAAACTGCTTATCTGCGGATATGATGTTTATGGTCTTCGTATTTCAAATGATCTATCAATACCTCTAAATGTAGGGATGTCACCTTCTAACTAGCCAAAGAACGGCTAATTTCTTTGGAAAGAAATAGTTCTGTACTCAATGTTGACAAGCAGTCTGTTCCCTCAGTACGTTCTCTGCAATACTTCGGTGTTACTGTCTGCCAAGATCTCACCTGAACTTCACATTTAAACTCTACTTTGAAAAGATTCAACGATTGTTTCTTTAGTTCCCGCCGGTGATCTTTAAAAGTTCCACTGAATTTGCATACCCGATTTATATATGATGTTGTCACTTGTCCCCAATAGTGCTCTCCACTTTTATTTGCCGGTCTTAGAATTAAAGACTACGCAATCCTACACCGGTTTATGAAAATTATGTCACGCACAAGCGGTATTCCCTATTTACACTTGCTTAAGTTTATCTCCGACAAACATCTTATCTCTTGCGAAAACTTTCGCAACCATATTCTATCAGACATCACTCACTCATTACACATAGAACATAAACACTGTATATCCCGCATATGGAACAAGTGTCGTTATAAACTTGTGTATATTCTTACCACTGCCTACCGTTTGTCCGTTATCCCATACATTGCGAGATTTCTGGCACAGAAAGTATATGATAGAGACAACATTTTAAAAATTCCTAGCTGAATTATATCCATTTTCACATTTTTACGTCACCTTCCTCTCTTGAATTTACGACGCTGTATTTTACTCGTTTCTCTGAGACTGACTGTATGCGATGATGAATGATCCTGGTGTGTGCAAGGAGTTGAAAATTCATTCATTAGGATGAATAAAGCGATTTGTGGCTTGTGACTTGTTTGAACCAGTTGGAATTGAGGGAGTCAAGTAAAAACCAAACAACTATCCGCGTATGTCGTACGGGGAGCAAAGGAGGACATCGGTAGGGGTGTGAACAATCCTGACCTACTATTCGCGATCCCAAACACTGTTGCGTATTGGGTGTTCAGAGGATACAACAAATGGGGAGCGGTGAATTGTACGACTCGTGTGTTACAACGTGAAGTTGAGGGGAATAGAAATAGAACACAAGAGTGTAGCGAAACCGCAGTCATCTGAATGGATAAATGGAACACGGAGAGACCGTCTGGAAGTCTACCATGAAGCAGAATGCCACCACGGATGAGCGACTATCGAATGGCTCTAGATGAGGATAGGTAAAATTAGGAAGGAATGAAAGTGTCCCACCGATCGAAGTTGTTTACATAAGCATAGAATGTCGAGTGGAGCAGCAGGGTGTGTGAACAACTATGTCCGAACGCGAATCAGAATGGAGAAGAAAGAATGTCCGTGAGGAGGATGAGGAGGAGCTTGGTGCCCCAGTGAAACGGACAAACGGTTCGCCGGAGGGGATTTCACGTGAATTGGTCCTACACTAGAGGATGTGTCCTTATGATTAGTCTCGCTCTCTGGCGCGAACGCGCTCTTTTGACTCATGAGGAATAAGAATGTATGTGTGTGTGTGCGTACATGCAGGGGGAAACCAAATGAAGCAATGTTCACCAAAGGGATAGAATCATCATCATCATGCCCACTTAGACCTGTCAAACACAGGCGCGAATGATGATGATGGAGAGAGAACGGGAACAAACGCGAGTCACACATAAACCGACAGTTCTATAAGGACAATGGTCATGCAAAGATAAGGGGTTTAAAAATACACACAGGTCAACGCGGGAGCAGGTGCGACTCAGCTCAACAGAACAGATAGAGAACGCGTGCGCGCACAGAGAGAGAGAAGCGAAAGTGGATGGTGGAGATGGAATGGACTGGTAAAAAGCACAATAAAGAAACGATACGTAGAGGACGATAAAATCACATTCGGGAATCGTCAATTGAGTAAAAATGAGGGTAAGAAAAAAACAAACATGAGGTGAAAAAACAACAACACAGAATGACCCCGGGAACGAGAGAGAGAGAACAATCGGACGAGAGCACAAACAGTGCACAGTATGGATCCAAAAGACCAAGCCGTAAATAGTCTTCTAATTAGCAGATGAACCCATTACTGACCAGAGCAGATGTGGCCAGTGGCACACACGCACACAGTTCGACGGAACTGAGCTACAACCGAACAAGCACAATCGGCCCAGAAAGAGTTCGGGATTTTGTGTTCGGTACCTACAAAAACCAAACAACCAACCAATTCGGGTTCCAATCGTACCCGAATGACCAGTGTGTGCACGAGTGTGTATGTGTCAAGGGAGGAGAAAGAATGAGCGAGAGAATTGAACACCGCGTGCAAAAACGTCCCCGAATGCCTTGGTCATTGAGAGAGGGAAATGGAAAAGATAGGTTAAAGACATACGCTACACACACACACACCGTTGGTGCAGTCACAAATCCACAATAGCCAAAAGTGGGACAGGAACAGCATCCTATACGGTTCCGTTTTTATAGTGCTCCCCCCCCCTCCACTCCCGGAGCAGGTATCCACCTCTCTCTCTAAAACCGATCTGGGAAAATTTTTCCCACCGCGAGAGGCTCGTGGCCTGATTGAAGGTCAACCGAGTGAGGATGAATTGAAAGACAAATAGACAGATAGGGTTTAGATGTAGTAGAGTACCGAGTCCGAGCTCTATACTATATCGTACCAAATAATAACCACGTCCGAAACGGAGACTGACGATCTCACGCTGGGACCGAAGGTAAAAAAGAAAAAACAGCCAGGAATACACAAACACACAAAGAACTACCGTAGACAGACTAACCTATCGACACTGGTGAACACATACAGAAGCTTTATTTTTTTTATAAAAAAAGAAGCAACGCACACAACGGGCGGACGATAAGGACGTTAGCTGTCAGCGTTAGTTAGCTGGATAAGCCTGGACCGTAGTATTTGTGCCGATGATATATGATGGACCCCAAAGGTGGATACGCATGTGTCCAATTGTGTCTTTTTTCCTGAATTCTGTGCGACTTATTTTGTGCGTAACGGAGAAGGGAGGTTAAAATATGCGGAGGTCTCTCGTGAGTGCTCTGCTTGTACAGATCAGATAGCGGTGTGCCCCGGAATTCACAGACAATCCGTTCCACCAAAACAATTTTTAACACACGGGTGAAAACAATTGGAAATGGACGGAATGGGGACAACGTGGAGAAGCACATTGTCGGACTGCAAACAGTGGCATGCTCGCGGATCAAAGCAACCACGGGGATCAGCAAATTCGGGGTGGGGGGGGGCGCAGCACTGTTCTAGCAGTGAAATGAACAGATTTATTTCAAACAAACGTGGAACTTTGAGCAGGGATACATGTTAACGTACCGCAAATGGATGCCCATTTTCCTAAGAGTGATATCGTTACCTACATTATTCGTCTGTTTTCCACGTCAATCTCGTCTGTTATTGTCGTTATTATTATTATCGTGTTGGCACCACGCTTCTTAACAAGCCATATATATATATTACAATAAGTAGCATGTGAATGACGACAAAATTTGCCTCGGAGCACACCACCGGCTTTGCGGTTCTTGTAGCTCGTCAGGCATGCGTATCCGATGGTCTTTTATTTTCCCACTCATATGCTTGTACGCAGCCAATGTATTTTCGCCACAATAAGCTCATTTGCAACGCTGAATTATTGTGAAGAAACTACACTTCCTGGCTACAAGTATATGAAAGA